TACATCTTTATCAAATAATATCAAATAATATCATTTACGATTATCGGTGCTTGTAAAATAAAAAATATTTTATAAACATATTGATATATATAAAAATATAAATATATTGAATAATGGTTTCAATTAAAAACTTTTGCTCATGATAATTGAAAGACAGAGAACGTGGCATATCAAAAATAGTCCTACACTGTATATATGCTGCATATCTACATATTTTAGGTTTTTATTAAAATTCAGACTATAAGTTTGTCTTTTCCTTCCTTGTTTTGATTTTATCACAATCATAGATTCAAATGTATTTTGAAAATGTGACGACGACAAAATAGAAATATCGAAAATTTTTCGAAGTACTTTATATTTGATAATAACCATCTGAAGGTAAATACGTTCTGAACGCAAAATATATTTATAAATATATAATATTTATTATGCAAAATATGTATAAGTTTTTATAAAATATGGACTCTATTTATTCATACATTTTTTATATGTATATAACATATCTGTAATCATGTAATTATTAATAGTTCATTTTAAACGAATTTTGCAACTCCATTTTTAAATATACATACATTCTAAAAGGAATATAAATGATTAAAGTCTAAATAGCGCTTTTTAAAATTATTATTTAAAAAACTATTTGTATTAAATATTTTAAAGTGAAGTTTATTGTGATCACAGTTTATTATAACCTCTATAAAATGAAGTAATTCTTCTTTTATAAAATTATGCAATTTTAGCTTCATAATAAATGTAAAAAAATTTGTATAATTTTTCGTATATCGTTTTAATTAGAACAAATGTAAATTTTTAATAATATTTCGACCAAAATTCCAATTCAAAAATCCAAAACATCAGTCCAGAGTCAGGTCCTTCCTTGTTCTAATAGGTTTACGTTAATAATAAATGCAACTTTTGTAATTATGAAATACTAAGCATCCTTCTCTCGAACTATGTAAAATGAGTAATTTCTAATAAAGATTTCTTTAAAAATGTTTTTGTAATTTGAAAATCATGTGTGAATATATAAATTCTAACCACAGCCGTCAGAATCGATCTACTCAGAGTAGGCTTCTTTAATTAAAGGCCATTGAGCATTTTTTTTCCGCTACAAGTGAATCTAATCGTTAATCAAATAATTTTCAGACTACGATGATATTCAGAAATAAATAAATATAGTTTCTTCGACTGCTTAGATCAAATTACCTATGACACTGTTTGTCAAATTACTTTGGATCATTATTTTGGAAACGCATGTTATCAGAGGATTGGAACTTACTTTAAAAAACTTTTAAATTAAGAAAAATATTGTCATGTTAAAAATTTAATACTACTAAATTTAATACTAAAAAAAATATTAATTTTAATCAGTTTTCATTAATTACATTACTTTCCTCATTCAAAAAGCTGTTAATAAAGAAGATAAAATTAAATTAAATCAAATATTTAAAAGTATAAAAGAAAGTTGGTTTTTACTTATACTAAAAGTTTAATAAACTTACACAACCTACTCTAACTCAAATCTACTATGTCTCAAACTTTCAATACCTTTTCTTCTTTATAAATCCTACTTATTTTTGTAATACGATTCTCTCGCAACAGTTAAATTCCCAAAAACTTCCATTATTATGAATAACGGAAATTAAATTAAAATTTTTCATATTTATATGAAATATGCTAATTTATAAAATTTAGTATATATGCCTAATAAATCATACCTTGTTTCCATGCTTCTATGTAACAATTTAGAACAACCTTTTTTATTTAGAATTTACTAACATTCATTTTACAAAAGCGCACTCGAAATTCTTGTTTGCATTTCAATTCTCGATTGCATATAAATAATAATGATATAAAATGCACATTTTTAATAACTTGTGCTCCTTAAAAACTTTAAAATTTAATGTATTAAATGCAAATAATCGTCATGCGTTTAAAGCTTTATTTATCAATATTTTATATTTAGGTATAATATATAATATTTTAAACCAATAAATTATGAATATCTTTCATTATCTATTGAAATATATAATTACATGATGATAATTCATAAGATTTTGAAATGATAACAGGTACTTTGATGTAATTTTATACGTTTCTGTTATAATACCAAATAACAATTACAAATTTATCATTTTATAAAACATACATAGTTTTATAGGTGAATATAGGTGAAGTGCAATATCAAATTTGTTTTAATGTTTTTATAATCATTTTCTAAAATATATAATGCTACAGTAGGTAAAATAGTTATCCGTTATCTATTACAATGTCAAAATACTAATGAAAAATAGTATTATTCATTGATAAAAACACAACATGAACTCTATAAAGTATAAATACATAAATGTAAACTCAAACATTTCTTGAATTTTACATATAACGGATATATAATAATTGTGTATTTGCAGAAAAGTAGATAAATTAATTACACATTTAATTAGAAAAAATAATTGAGTACCCTATTTTGATTCTATTAACATTAAATTAAATGAATCAATTCTTATTGGATCTAAATTCAAATATTTCAATTTTTTTGGAAAAATTCTATAGATTAATATACTCAAAGTTCAATTATACGTACACAAAATTCTTGAAAGAAAAAAAATTGATTGATATTAAAGATATTATTTATAAATAATATAAGTATTCGAAAAATAACTTCTAAAACATGTTGAATAACTCACTCGTTCCAACATATAATATTACCCAATAATTGAATCAGTATATTACTTTACTTAAAATACAAACATGAAAATGATTACTTAATTTGCATTTATTAAAATTTCATTTTAATATAAATTACCTATATGATATTATATTTCATTCATTCAATAATGATTTATAAGTTTTTCTCACCTATAATTATTGTTGATTGAATGAAGTAGGTCATTTTCTACTTAAATGAAAGTTGAGACTTATATACTATAAACTATGTTTGAAAAAATAATCCGAGTAAATATTCCACGAAAATAATCTTAACTATATACGGCCTTGACCACTACTTTGGGGGAAAAATAAATTGCTGCTAACGTATTTTGGAGGTCGATTGAAGAGAATGAATTAAAAATGCCAAGAAACTTAAGAAAAGCTCTGAACAAGATACAACAAGAATTAAGTGCCTTTTCTTACCGTACTTTCAGTGGAGCTCTAATTAATATAAGGTCCATTTATGCTTTATCCGTTCTTCCGTACATCTAGGGTTGGCTTTTATAATTAAATAGATGGAGCTTAATGCAGACATTTGCTTTACTAGCTAAGAAAGGAATCCTCTAACGATAAAACTCTAATTAATACTGCTTTTATGCTATTCTTGTATGACCTGGAATTAACTTGTTCATTCAACTTTATATTTTTATGAAATAAGTACTTACGGTCAATATAACTTTTTATTTTTCATTCTCTTGTCCTTTTATCTTTTCTCTTCCCCTCTCACAAAATAATTGTTTATATATTCTATGTTATTATATTCAATTTATTATTTCTTATTATTTTTTAATTTATTTATTATAGAAAATTCATAATAATCTCACAAATAAAAGGAGAATTTAATGTCTATCAATTATCTATTTATCCGTTATTCATATAAAAATATTTTATAAATATTTAATAACTTCATTTATTAAAGTATCATGCTTAGTATCAGAATTAATGACAACTAAATAATTTATATTATACCATACGTAGTTACGTAGTTATACCGTGTAGTTATCACGATGTAGTTATATATGCTGTTATATACGAGTTACATATTAGCAAATAAAAAAAAATTGTAGAAAATAAAATATCAAACCGAATCATACTATTTTGTTTGATATTATAAAAAGCATGTATAATGTAAAAAAAGGTTCAACAAATAGGAAAAAATTCCATTAGAGTAATATTTATATAGAGTAATATTTTTTGTTTCCATAAGTCTAGTTTCAAGAGATTATTATTGGTTATTATAATAGTATAAAATTGCAATGGTAAAATAAATATTTGAATGTAAGATAGCATACAAACCGACATATTTGCTAAAATTATTTTGTAATAAAATAGTTTTTTGTTATTTACAAAATTCTTTTAAAGAGTAATAGTATCTATGAAAAGTGACTTATCAACATGGAAATTACAATGAAATATATACAATAAAATGAATCAATTTCATTTAACGTTATTAATTACTAATTTTTCATATTTTAATAATATCAAAGAGGATACCAAACCTAGAACTATAGAAATTAATAATATTAAAAAATTATCATTAAACAACTTATCATTAAAATATATATCTATAGTAGTATATATACGTAGTATTAGATTTTGCCTTTGAAAACATTATTATTTAATAATTAGAAAATTACGAATATTTTTAATATATCAAACATTATTTTACCAAAATGCACCTTGTTTATATTGCAAAATATTGTCTTATTTCCATTAAAGAATTTTTTGCGATACGAAGCATATTTAAAATAAAGGTTTTATATTATAATCTTACAATTATTTCACGTAACAAAAATGTCATCTTTGAAAATATTATTCTCTAATACAGCTAGGTTAAGTATTTATAAATATCCATAATTAAAAGGTTGTGTATTGTTAACTGTATACATTTCAATAACCTTTAATAGATTGGCTACCTGTGCAACTTTTCATTTGACGTTGACGTCTTATCCAGTCTGTAACTCTTGTTTGTATTTTGGTGTTTATGTGCACGTACTAAAAATATATTTATTAAAAATTAACAAAATCTATAAAAAAAAATGAAAGTGAAATATCTAAAACACATTTTTTCCAAGAAATGTAAAGTGTGTTTATGTTGTGTGTTGCAAAAAAATGACATATTAATAAAAGCAGTGCGCTCGGGTAACATTAGTCTTATTAAAAATTTAATATCGGACAAAAAAATAATGCGTTATTTCAAATTACACGATAACAGTATTCTTCTTCAATCCGCAGTATCCACGAATAACATTAACATGCTTGAATTTTTATTAACGTTTAAATCTAAGAATATGCTGTTCAGTTCAAAGCAGCTGTCGTTATGTTTGTATACAGCAATGATGAACAATTTCTTGGAGATCGCCAAGTTGCTCATTCGATATGGTGCCAATGTTTCCGAACGACTACCTATACAATCCAGTAGGTTGGATAATAAATACCAAGTACCTTATTTACATATGGCATTGAAATGTAAAGACAAGGACTTGATTAAACTACTTTTAGATCATGGTGCAAATGTGAATGACGTGAACAATACAGGCGAAAATTCTCTGCACCTCGCACTACACACGCACGATCTTACAATTCTCGAACTTTTACTCGAAAAAAGCTGTGATTTACAGGCAATTTCCACTTGGGGTGTCACGATTTTAAATACCGCTATTCTAAGAGGCAATATTAACGCTGTATCAATGATACTCAAAGCTGGAGCAGACATAAAGGCCCAACATCACACTGGACTAACCCCTATGCATTTTGCAGCGATGTCTGATGTAGACAACACGAATATTGCCGAATTACTACTAGCGAGAGGCGTACCAGTAGATGACGGAGATAAAGATCTCGTAAAGCCATTACATCTTGCTTTAGAGTATAATAATAAAAGAATGGTAAGTACTTGCATCTAACCAAGTATATAGATAACAATGAATATTATTGATTATTCAATATTATTATTATAATATTATTAATTAATTTTAATTAATTTAATTAATTTGTCATTTAATATTATTTGATATATTATAAATACATTTAGATTGATATTTAAATAGATATAAATCTAATATATTCATGTAATTTCGAAATAGCATTTTAGAAAATATTTGTAAATTTTTCAATTAAAATATGAAGCCATAAATATCATTGTTTGAATTTTTATTTCATATTCTACGAACACGCGAATCTTTGTTTTTAAATTGTATTGTATTAAATAATGATTGCAAATAAAATTTCCAGATGTATTTTCTTGTAAAACATGGAGCAAATATAAACTCAAAAACGGAAAGCAGTTTATTTCCATTATATTTGGCTGTTCAGTTCAATCACTCATCGACAGTCGAATTCTTATTAGATAAAGGAGCAAAAATAAATGAAGTTGCAGAAAAGTATAGGCTGTTTTCAGCGCTCCATATTGCCTGTATGATGGAATCAGAAGAAAAAATTAATGTATTGTTAGAATATGGTGCTGACATTAACATTGGTAGCTCAAATAAAACAGCCTTTTCGATGATTGAAAATAAATGTACGAGATCCGCTCATATTATGATTAAACACATGGTTAAAATGAATGATCAGCACTTGATGGTGAATGAAAAGGACATGCAAAGTATCTGTAAATCGAAAAACTTAAAGTTATTTTACGAACAATGTTGTAATGAAATAATAAGGATGAAGTACTACAAGGTTTACAATAATATTTCATATTATTATGTATTAATTTGTCATAAAAAAAAATTAATACCTTTAGCCAGAAATTTGAATTTCACTAAAGCATTCCAATTTAGAGACAAGTTAAAAATGTTTCCTATTTATGCTGCTGAAATGAAAGTTAAATTTAGAAGAGCTGAAATTATGAACAAGGCATCACAACGTATGGAGAATTTTTTAAGTACAATATTTCAGTTGTATTTGCCCCGTACTGTGCTGCGAAAGATTGCAACATATTTAATTGTCGAAGATTTACAATTTTAATATTAATTTATTAATATATATAAATATATAATATTATTATTCTTATTTCTGAATGCAACAAAACATTATAATTTTAATAATGAATAAAATTTTTTTAAATTCTATAAAAATTATAACAATTTTAACATAATTTCAATGAGCTAATAATTTTTCGTAATTTGGTTTTATAATTTTAAATCTTATGTATAAATAATATAATTATAGTATAATATAATAAAATCTACGCTATTATTAAAAAATTCTAATTAATTCCAATTAAAAAATTGTTTACATAATAGTTTTTGTACAGAAATTGCAAAAATATATTTCAGAAAGTCAAATAAAAAAAACGAAAGTCATAGTACAATACAGAACATGATAGTGACAACAAAAGTAGTAAAATTCGAGGTATAGCCACAATAATACTGTACCCAATCTTTTTGGATTTTTTACCACTAGAGTTTGAATAATTAAAAATAAAAATTATTCATTCCTGCATAAATCCATTTAATATTTGTTCTCCGTCCTTCATTATTTGTTTATTATCTAACGAGTTATTTTCTTTTTTTCTCTTGTAGTTATTTTATCTGAAGTATTTCGTACAAAATCCCAAGCAAAATTGTTAAAATGACCAGTAGTTCAATGACACTATACAATTCTAATAGTTACTTCTAAATAATATTATAATTTAAAAATATTATTTCATAACTCTTTTAAGCTACTTACTTATATCTCTAAGTTATGCAATTCAATAATTAAGAAAAACAATTGAAATATGAATTATGAAATCTCTCTTAAAAACCGAGAAATATATTAAATTTAAAAGTTTATTATGTAAATATCAAAGGAAATAATATTTACAAATGCATATTACATATCTGTACAATTACGCAGGTAACTAAAAGTTTATATCAAAATTAATTCTTTTTAAAATAATTAAACATGATTCATTTTAAAAAAGTTTTATTTTAAATCAAGTAATTTAAAATTATAAATCTACAGTAAAACTGAAACAAGAATGTAAAAGTTTGTATAAGGCGGTTTGAGTAATTTTTATAGTTGTATTTTCATCATCTATTATTGCAATTTTTTATATCTTTTCCTTGAATTTTATATCTTCTCTTATATTTATATCTTATGAAAATATTACGCAACTGATATTATCTAAAAATAATTATAATTTAATTACCTACAAAAGAGATGTGATCGAAAACAGATGCACTACAGATTTTAATATATTTAAAATAAGCATTAGGAAAATTTCTGTAAGAAAAATATTATATATATTCATTAGCTATACATACAAATTTATTTATTCAATTAATTAAATTTTTATTTAACTTTAATTATATTTATTAAAAATACCTCTACGATTATTATAATGAATTGCAATAATACCGAATTATATCATTAGTCGACATTTATTACAAGCAAACAAATCACTTATCATCTAAGTAAGAAATATTTTAGTAGGAGTATTCTTAGAACAAGATTTCCTAAGAAATTAAACGACTTATTTCTCGATACTTTGAAATAACGGTTAGCATATTTATTTCCGGTTCTGAAATATCTATTTGCCCTCCAAATTTTGTTTATTTTTTTTCCTATAATAGCAAGTTTCCTATAATAGCAAGTACATATATTTTAAAATTTTGTTGGTTCAATAATGAATTGTAGTTTAATTTTTATATGTGCCCAAAAGAATTATTTATTTTACCCTTTAAAAGTATATTTGAATCATTGTAGTTATGCACAATTTATAAACCATGTCTAATGATATAAGTTCTTGTAATTTATTATTAAATTTTTTTTTTTTTATAAATATTAGCCTTCCACGTATACAATTAAGAGTTGATGAGTAATTTCATATAACTGTTTTCAATGATGTGTGAAGTTATACAAACATAATTTTTTAAATAAAACTATAATATACTAATTATTAATAAATTTGATAGTTTTTTAAATATTAGTTAATAGATTTTTAAATAAATAATTGTAACTTAATAAATTTATCTCTCTAAAATTAATTAAAAAATTGATTATATTTTATTCACAACTTTAAAAAATATTAAAGATAAAATTCTATCATAAAAAATACGAATATAAATTTTCGAGCAATAAAGTATTTTTCTGTCTTTCATACACTTATTCTTATGAATACATATGTAGAAGGTAATAAAAAACAACGCGAATCCATAATTTTTGCTTGGACCCACAATTCCAATAAAATATTAATTATTTAAGTGCATAACGATATTTTCTTTTTCGTAGTAGACAGAGAACAGTTTTTTATTATACATATTGTAAGGAAAGAATGAAGAGTGTTGTAAAACGGCTTAATTAAATAAACATAAAATGCTAATAATAGACAAAAGTAAGATAATTAAAATATGAGGATTTGCGTTTTAAGACCGAAGGATAAATTTTTCATTTGCTTCAAATATATAGTTTTTTCTTGGCTGAGCGATTATGTTTGTGTTGTATGAATATCTACACAATACTCTTTAAATACAACTTAATTGATAATGAATTTTTCAACTTGAATAAACAATTAAATTGCCAAAAATAAAAAAATCAATTTAATTCTATTGAATTATGCTTTGTAATTCATCAATTTCTTGTCCATAACTTGTCCTACTATAAAAATTGTGCTCATTAATCGATTTTAAATGTGAAATTGTACAATCAAACCTATTAATTCATTTATACTTCTTTAATGATTAAATATGGACCAATAATCAATTATTCTATTACAGGCTCATCGTAAGACGCATTTTATAAGTTAAATTAGCAAGTTATATGAAATAGTATACAATAAGCTAATTTTAATTATCAACAAAATTTTAATCCATTTAATTATAGATAAAGCATTCATAATAAAATATTCTATTTCATTATTTCATTTTTTTTAATAATATTTATTAAATGTTTTATATTTTATATAATATTACAATATATACTATAATATTTTATAATAATAAATGTTAGTTATTTACAATAATGGTAGGGTCAATTTTTATAATATTCATTAAAATAAAATAAAATCATGAAATATAATATTTTATTATATTTCATTATATTATTGTAAATATTAAGCCTACCATTATTCTAAATAACTAACAATTAATATTTTACAATAATAAACAAAGGTTAAAATTATACTGAGCACATTTAATGCAAAGTTATAGTGAAAAACTATTATGTAAAGCAATCGAAATTAAATATAAAATTTAAAAAACGGGAAAAATAAATAAATACATATGTAGAGAAAACTGAAAGAAAATCATATTTTTCATTGTCTTCGAAATGCTGATTATCAAACCTAAACCAAGTAAAAACAAAAACTTTGCAATCCACATTCATAAATATTGATGTATTATTTAATTAATAAAAAGCACATAATATTTAAAGATAAATGACTATACTATTATTAAAATCTAATAACTAAATATGAATACTTTCCCTTTAAAAATTAATGTTTAGAAAATCAAAGGAAAATCCCTTCAATTTAATATTATTGATAATAAATGTTTTTTTCTAATAATAAGAAACTATATTATTTGTTACTATTATAGATTTTTACGAATTTTATTTATTATTCTAATTTATATTCATATTTTTATTGTATATTTACATTACAGATTATCAGACAAAACACATTTAAAATTCTTTGTTGGGTACTAAAAACAGATTATACATTAACACTTTTATATAAACACAATCGTCTCAAATAGAATAATAAATTATAGCGTTACATACAACAAAAATAGGAAGTTTTCTCTTATTTACATAATTCATATGTCATACATAATACAAAGAATGTAAAACTAATACGAAATCTTTTGAAATATTTCCTTCCTGTATTTATATATTCAGAAATTTCAGTAAATATTTAAAATTACATATAAATATTAAAATTTCATAAAATATGGTTTACACTACATTTAACACTGATTTAAATATGTTAATAAGCTTAAAAAGTTTTCTGCAACATATTAATGAAATTTAAATAAAATATAGTGTTATATAAATTTCTCATATAATTAAATAATTAATAAATATTCAGTAAATACAGTATTTATTCATTTAAATTTTTGAATTCAATATTTTTTAAAAATTTATTTCATTTAAAAGCAAATTTTAATTAAATAAAAATTACGGATCATATCATTATTTATAAATTTCTCATTAACAAAAAAGGATCCATAAAATAATACGATTTTTCCTTCAATTTTTATATATTGGTGTTATTTTATAAATTATAACCGATTTATTAAAATTTTTATAATACATATAATATGTAGAAAGCACTTAAGTGAAGTGTTATTACATTAGAAAATAGCACGATGCTTTGCTTTTCAAAATTATTTTTGTTTACTTAAAAAGTGCTTTATAGAATATAAGACACTATTAAGTGAGAAGGAAAAATCATATATTATCTCAAAATTTATATTATAAACGTACAAAATATATTCTTCTCATTAATTGGGAGATTAAAAAATATTGGGCCTGAGTAAGTTACTGTCAAATAAAATCCCGTACGTTCCACAAAACATGTGCACTGTATCTAAAAGAGTAGAGAAGAGAAGTCGAATAATGAAAACATTTTATCATTGGCATTTATATATAGGCTACTATCTTAATCATTGATATACGGAAAAAATATAAATAAAAAAAACAGACTAATTAGAGGTACTATTGTTTACTTGTAGTACTACTTGTAATGGTAGACGTACTTATTTACCATTACTATAAATAGTGATCAATCTTTCATAAAAAATATTACTTAAAAAATGAATCCCGTTAAATACAGATATAATATATTCAATACAAAATATAGAAAAGTTATGAGTTGAGAAAATACCAGAATATAAAAACTTGATGGATGTAATTTTAAGTGCACATACACAAGTCTCGAAAACTAACAATACAAAGTAAAACAAGATGAAAAAGGATAAGCAAAAGATGTAAACCTGCAAGTAAGAGTTGATTAATTTGAGATGAACGAAAAAATCGATGGCATCTAGAAAAATCTTTTATTTTTTGATCTTATAATTATAATATATTTTTTGTTCTGTTTAATTTTTTAACACTTTATACGAATTGAACACATATAAATAATTCATTACGTTTATGTCGACTATATTTTGATATGTAAATTTGAATATTATATATGTTGACTTGATTATTGAAATTGTAATCAATAATTGTTGTAAAATAATTGTAATATGTTTTTTAATACATAATTTAAGCTATATTTATTTACGTATCCTAGAATTATCATCGAGTCATCTGTATTTCTAAAGAATTTGTTGTAGGTACCTTCAAAATCTATCACATTCTGTATTTGTATTTAATTAAAGAAAATGAAATAATATTATTATTTCTACTCTTCCTAAATTCTCGTAGTGAGTGTAGTGCTGAATATACATATACGATGTTAACTGATTGTTAACAATGAAAGAACTCAATGAGATGAAATGGAACAGAAATGAAAAGGGAGAGAGACAAAAAATCTCCAGTAAAAAGAAAAGACAACAACGGCTCTTGTGGCTGTATATTGGCTCTAGCTAGTACTAACCAACCTAAAAACATTAATTGTAAGTAGAGCTATCTTTGGCACTAATAATA